TTTTTTTTTTTTTTTTTCATGAGTTTGTAAAATTAGAAATGCCTCACAGGCTCACCCTAGCTCTTTGGGAGGCCGAGTCAGGAGGATTGATTGAAGACACGAGTTCGAGACAACTTGGGTAACATAGCAAAGAACGCGTCTCCTCCAAAAACTACGACAAAATTAGCCGAGCATGGTAGTGTGCCCCTGTAGTTCCAAATATTCAGGAGGCTGAGGTGGGAGGCTCACTTGAGCCTAGGAGTTGAGGCTGTGGTGAGCTTTGATCACACCACTGTACTCCAGGCTTGGCAACAGAGCAAGACCATGTCTGAAAAAAAAAAAAGAGAATGAAATGCCATCACAAATTGGCCACTTCCTGCAGTATCTTTTTTTTTTTTTTTTTTGAGTTGGAGTCTCACTCCTTTGCTCAGGCTGGAATGCAGTGGCGCACTCACGGCCACCCCAGCGATGACCTGCTGGCCTCGGGTGATCATTCCACCTCATCTTTTCAAGTAACTGGAACTATAGGCGCGTGCTACCAAGCCCAGCTAATTTTGTGATTTATTGTAGAGACAAGGTCTCGTCAAGTTGCCCAAGCTGTTCTCGAACCTGTGGGCTCAGGCAATCCTCTCACCTTGGTCTCACAAAGTACTGGGATTACAGTCTTGAACCACTGCGCCTGGCCTGCAGTATCTCTTATGAGTCCTATACCCTTTTGTTTCAAAAAACCTTGATTCTTTCCAACTGCTCCTAGCTTCTAATTATGGACACCTTAAGAGATCTTAAGGGCAAAAGGGGTTGGGAGGGAGGGGCAGAAAACCTCTAATTCTTGGTGCAACTCCAAGGATGCAATGACCCTTGATTCTTCCATTTTCCTAACAGATATGGCTACAGGTTACCCAGCAGAGCATGTACACCTGCGCCGAGCTGATGCCATTCGTTCCCGTCTCATTGATACTTTCTCTCTCATCGAGCATTTGCAAGGCTTGAGCCAAGCTGTGCCACGGCACACTATCCGGGAGTTACTTGGTCTGCAGCCTATTTCTTCACTAATCTAAGTTTAAGATTCCTTTTCAAATCCTCCAAAGAGTAGGACACAAACAGACAAATATAAAGGTGGAAAATTTAGGGGAGGTTGGTTTGGTTGCTGTTTTAGAGACTACCCAAACTTGATAAATCAAGGGCTTTATGAATAAAACTCTGAATCCAGGAGATAAAACCTGTGTCATTCGCTTTTAGACCTATGATAGCTACTAGCCTTGGCTGATTTGGAAAAATTTCTACCAAAGACACTTAAAGCTTTGAGGGTTGAACCTGCTGCTTTTTTCCTATAGGCATGGACAATATTGGTCATAAGCAATACATTAGCTTTCATTTCAAATGGACAGAATTCCTAGTTGTTGTGAGAAGGAGCAGTAGTAAGGCAAGACCCTGCACTAGGCGGCCTTTATCTGACCAATATCCCTGCCCCATCCCTACCTGCTCTTCATAGCCCCCAAAGACTTTTCTTTATGTTTATCCACTATCTCTTTCACATTTTTGTTATAGATCCTTCCCATCAGAAGAAACTTATCTTGGGAGATCAACACCAGCTAGTGCGCTTCTCTGTAAAGCCTCAACATATAGGACGGATTTCACATGCCCAGAGACTATTGAGCAGACTTTATGTACGCTGCAGTCAGAGGCCACCTCTTGCCTTGTGGGCTGGATGGGTCCTTGAGCGTATCCTTTCTAGTCACTTTTTTGTAGTCCCACTCTGTCACCCAAGCTGAGTGCAGTGGTGCAATCATGGCTCACTGCAGTCTCCACCTCCAGGCTCATATGATCTTTCCACCTCAGCCTCTTCAATAGCTGGGACACCACACTCGGCTTATTTATTTTTATTCTTATTCTTATTTTTGTTTTTGAATTGGAATATCACTCTGTCGCCCAGGCTAGAGTGCTGTGGCACACTCACAGCCACTTCAGCGTCGACCTGCTAGGCTCCAGCAATCCTTCCGCTTCAGCCTTCCAAATAGCCAGAACTACAGGTGCGCACTACCATGCCCAGCTAATTTTTTAATTTATTGTAGAGACGAAGTCTCACCAAGTTGCCCATGCTGGTCTCGAACCCTCAGGCTCAGGCAATCCACTCACCTTGGCCTCCCAAAGTGCTGGGATGACAGGCTGAGCCACCGAACCCAGCCCCTATTTATTTTTTTAAATAGATACCAGGTCTCACCATGTTGCCTAGGCTGCTTCCAAACTCCAGGCCCCATCTGGGCCTCCTAAAGTGCTGGGATTACAGGTATGAGCCACCATGCCTAGCCTTAGTTCACTCATTTTTATTCGTGGCTATTCATCCTCTGCCTAATGACTTATTTTCCCCACCCTACTCTCCATTTTCTTCTCATTTTCACTGCTGTTATTCTTGCCCTTATGATTTCGGCTGCATGAATCAGAAAGAATTCCATTCTGTATGTCTCCTTAAGAAAAAACAGGTCCTCTCTTCACAAACTTCATCATCTTCCTCATCTTTTTGAATACGATTGTATTAATGGTTGAAATAGGTGAGAACTGCAGACATTGAATGAAAGAAGTGGGTAGGAGTCATTTTTCTTCTAGATTAATCATTTTACTTTTTTTTTTTTTTTTTGAGTTGGAGTCTAACTCTGTCTCCCAGCAATCCTTCTACCTCAGCCTGCCAAGTAGCTGGAACCACAGGCATGTGCCACTGTGCCCAAATGATTTTTTTATTTATTATAGAGACGAGGTCTTGCCATGTTGCTCAGGCTGGTCTTGAACCCCTGAGTTCAGGTAATCCTCTCACCTCTGTCTCCCAAAGTGCTGGGATTACAGGCATGAGCCACTGTGCCCAGCCATTTTATATTTTAAAATGTCATTTGAACTGTGATAGGGACAATTATATTGAACCCTCTGGTGTAGGATTTGTGTAACTGCTAAGATCTAGAAACATTTGGACAGTATAGTAAATACAGGGTAGATTAGACAAGTAGAGGTAGGATATAATATGTAGCAATGTAACAAATCTACAAGGAGCTGGATATGGGAAGACCAGGTCTTTTATTTCTTTAGTCAGTTTAACATTTGTTTGAATTAACCTTTTCCATTAAAGATATTGGTGCCTATCAGCATTTACATTTTTTTTTTTTGAGTTGGAGTCTCACTCTGTCGCCCAGACTGGAGGGCAGTGGCTGCTCCCGGCCACCGCAGCCTCGACCTGCCGGGCTCCAGCGATCCTTCCGCCTCAGCCTTCCAAGTAGCCGGAATTACAGGCATGCGCTACCACACCCGGCTGATTTTTTGATTTATTGTAGAGATGAGATCTCGCTGCCCAGGCGGGTCTCAAACCCGCGGGCTCAGGCAATCTACTCACCTCAGCCTCCCAAAGGCACGGGATTACAGGCTGAGCCACCGAGCCCGGCGCATTTACATTTTTTACAAATATATTTAGAAATATTATTTAAGTATGAGTAAAAAAACCTCATAAAGTATGTAAAGGTAGATACAACTAAGAGGTGAACCAAAAATTACTTAAGAAGGAAATGACTCAAAAAAACCCCCCAAAAAACAGAAGGATGACTGGAGAGTCAGTGAGCTCATTTGATGATCATCTCATATAAACTGCTCAGAAATGATGAAGGGACAATAGAAGTACTCACTTGTTTCATTCTCACTGTTTTAGGGAAGTCTCCCACTTTAAAATAATCCTTTAATGCAATTAGGTCAAAGTTTTTTTTTTTTTTTTTGAGTTGGAGTCTCACTCTGTTGCTGAGGTTGGAGTGCAGTGGCACGCTCACAACCATTGCAGCCTTGACCTACTGAGCTCAGGCAATCCTTCCACCTCAGCCTTCCAAGTAACTGAAACAGGTGTGTGCCACCATGCCCGGTTAATTTTTTTATTTATTATAGAGATGAGATCTTGCCAAGTTGCCCAGGCTGGTCTCGAACCCCTGGATTCAGGTGATCTTTCCACCTTAGTCTTCCAAATAGCAGGAACTATAGATGTGTACCACTACGCCTGGCTAATTTTGTGATTTATTGTAGAGACAAGGTCTCACCAAGTTTCCCAAACTGGTCTCGAACCCCTGGGCTAAGGCAATCCTCTCATCTTGGCCTCCCAAAGTGCTGGGATTACAGGCTTGAGCCACCGCACCTGACTGAAGATTTTTAAATACACAGCAATAATTGATATCACTGACCCACTATAGTATACTATATACTTTGAGGTGTTTATTTCCTCCCCATACTGGTGAAGATTTTTTTCTGGAGTACAGTGGTGCAGTCATAGCTCACTATATCCCAAACTCCTGGGATTAAGATATCCTGCCTCAGCCTCCTGAGTAGCTAGGGCTACAGGTGTGCACCACCTTGTACAGCCATTTTTTTAACGTTTTGTAGAGACAGTGTCTCCCTGTGTTGCCTAAGCTGGTTTTGAACTCCTAGTCTCAAGGTTCTCCCACCTTGGCCTCTCAAAGTGCTGGGATTACAGATGTGAGCCACTGTGCCCAGCAGAAGTGGTGAGGATTTTGAACTAAATCACCTATAATCTCATATTTCTTGTATGATCACTGGCATGTATTTGCCTTGTGGGGTTAGGGATATAGTTTTAAACCTTGGAATGAAGTAAATAACAGTAATTATATAGGATTCCCGAGAACTAATTGATAAATAAAAATAGAATAACATTAACCATTCTATTTGGTGAAACAGTTAACTGAATATGAAATGTGATCACTGTGCCAGAGAATAGGTGGATTGCCAGACTGGGAATTACCTGGCAAGCTCATGAAATTATTATCTTTGGTTTTTATGGTGGTTGTTGTTTTTGAGTTGGAGTCTCACTCTTGTCACTCAGGCTGGAGTGCAGTGGCATGCTCACGGCCACCCCAGCATTGACCTGCTGGGCTCAGGCGATCCTTTTGCCTCAGCCTTCCAAGTAGCCAAAATTACAGGCGTGCGCTACCACACCTGGCTAATTTTTAAATTTGTTGTAGAGATGAGGTCTTGCCAAGTTGCCCAGGTTGTTCTTGAGCCCATGGACTCAGGCAATCCTCTCACCTTGACCTCCCAAAGTGCTGGGATTACAGGCTTGAGCCACTGTGCCTGGACAAAATTGTTATGTTATTAAGCATATTCTTATAGTAGAAAGACAAGAGGGATTTTGTAAAGAGAAACTATTTGTGATGAACACATTTCTTTGAACAGACCAATTCAGATGATAAAGATAAACATTAAGACTTTGTTTGGGCTTAATTTTTTCCCCCCAGATCACAAAGAATGTACCTATTGGTTAGGGCTTTAAAAAAAGAATCTAAGCCGGGCTTGGTGGCTCAGCCTGTAATCCCGCGCCTTGGGAGGCTGAGGTGAGTGGATTGCCTGAGCCCATGGGTTCAAGACCCACCCGGGCAAC